TAGGGGAGGGCGGGGAGGGGACGGGGCAGGTCATGCAGGGCCTCGTGAGCCTCAGCTGCACCTGTGCTGTGTGACCCTAGTCAAAATACTACCCTCTCTGGGCCCAGAGAGCAGGAGAATATTTGTAAAATACCTAAGAATCTCAGAAAGAGATCATTCCATGCAAAGACACTGCCTGGCCGGGCTCTGGGAGTGTCAACCTCCAAAAAAGAAATCATGTTATTTATTCACATTTCAGTTTCTAAAGAAGGGGAACATTTTCAATTATTTTTCTTCCTATTTTTCTTTCAGATCATTTGGCTCAGAGGGGTCGTTGGGATTTCCCCTGAAACCCCCCACCCACCCCCAACCCACCTGGCCACGTGGGGCCATCTGGCCGCAGACCTGGAGGTAGCCACCAGGGGGCGCTGGGGACACATGAATTGTGGCCGAACCCCTCATTCTGGGGGATTGAGGTCCTGCTGCAGCTGGCCTGTCCTACCTGGTCTCCCCCTCTAGGCCTTTGCCCAGGCTGTGGCCACTTCTTAGAACACTGTTCCCAGCCCACGGCTCATTCTGACTTATGCCTCAGGTCTCAGCTTACTTCCTCCTTCTGGAAGCTGCCCTTAATTCCCCCAGGCTGGTCTGAGTTCCCCTTAGGACTCTTGCAACCCCCTGCACTTCCCCATCAGAGCCCTGGTCACCCCACATCTGCCTGATTGTGTCTGTTTAGAGCACTGGACCGTGAGCCCCGGGATGGTTTTGTTTCAGTCACCTCCATGGAGCCTGCACACAGCAGGTGCTCAATAAATGTTGGGGAGTCAACATCCTCCCCATTCACTGCCCAATGAGCTCCATCAGGGCAGGGAACAGCTGTGTGTCCCCAGTGCCCCACAGAGAACCTGCATACAGCAAGTGCTCAATAATTGTTCGTGAAAAGAATTCACTTACTGTGTGTCATGCCCCCTGCTGGGTTCTGAAAACCTCAGTAGTGACTGAGACAGATCTGTCCCTTGCCCTCTCATGGCAGGCAGGATGTGGGGGAGAAGCCACAAATTAACAAAGAGCAAAATGAACAGATTATATCAGAGAATAAACAAATCCAGGCAATGAATGACACGCTGCACAGACTCTGTAAGGGCTAGAACGCTGCAGAGAACGTCCAGCTCTTCCCTTGCCCCTGTGGGCTGCGTATGTGGCTGTGTGAGCTTGGACAGGTGACTTCACCTCTCTGGGCTTCGGTTTCATCATCTGTAAATTGGGCACAATGATAGTCCCTTCGGTCCAGGGTCTGGGTACCCACCAGTGGGCAGGCCTTCGGGTCCCGAGGGGCTCTCAAAAATGATCCCCCTTTGCAGATCTGCTGGGGCATCATGAGGACCTGTGGAAATGCGAGTTCCAGACCTGAAGTCACTGGGTCCATCATACAGATGAGGATGATGAAGTCCAGGAAAGGGCTGTGACTCACCCCAAGTCCCACAGCGTTGCAGGAGTGAAGTAGAGGCTCGATGCCGGCTCTTCCTGCAGCCAAGGCCAGCAGGGCTTCTCAGACGGCCTGGCTGAGCTAGGACAGGTGAAGGTCCCCAGGCTGAACTCCTGTCCAGTAGCTTTAAGGAACAGGAAAGGGCTCCTGAATTAAGAACGTCCTGAATGTGTCCGCTTCTCCCCACTCCTCTGCCTCCACCTGGTCCAGCCCCAGCCAGCATCCCTCACCTGGCCTAGCTCAGTCGCTTCTGTCCTGCCCCCATCCTCATCACCGCTTGTCCCCAAGGCCCCCCAAGGTTTGTCCTCCCTGCAGCAACCACCAGAGGGCACCTGTGAGCACCTGAGTCAGATCCTGTCCCTCCTCTGCCCACAGCCCTCCATGGCTCCCACCTCCCTGGCTGGAAAAGCCCAAGTCCTCCCCATAGCCCACAAGGCCCTGCATGACCTGCCCTGTCCCCTCCCTGCCCCCCCCCCCGCTCCCACTCACTCTGCTTCAGCCACACGGGCTTCCTCGCTGTTCCTCCAACTTGCCAGGTTCGGTCCTGCCTCCGGGCCTTTGCACGGGCTGTGCCCTCTACCTAGGTCATTCCCAGCCCCACCCCGGCTCTTCCCATGACCAACTCCTTCTCTTCCTCCAGGTCTCAGCTCCAACATCACCTCCTCAGAGACGCCCTCCCTGACCACCCTGACTAAGTTCTCCCTCCCTCCTGGGACAGTCCCCATCATCTTGACCTATTTATGCCTTCAGAAGTCTCTTTACTTCCTGAAATTTTCTTCCTTCTTTCTTTGATGACTTGTCCACTGTTCTCATCCCTGCAGCCCCCACGGAAAAGACAACAAGCGATGGATCATGCCTGGAAATGATGCGAGTGACTGATCACGTCTGTCTTCACTCCACCCCGCTGCATCCCAGTGTCTGGGACAATCCCCGGCACAAAGTAGGTGCTCACGGAATGTTGGCCAAATGAACAGATGGCCAGTTCACTGTAACGGTGCATCCCAGTGTCTGGGACAATCCCCAGCACAAAGTAGGTGCTCACGGAATGTTGGCCAAATGAACAGATGGCCAGTTCACTGTAACGGTCCAGGTATTGGCAGCTGGCTCTTGTCTCAGTGGACAGAAACCACCCCGCCTCACCCTGGAATCTAATCTCAGAAGGTCATTCTCCAGGTTTCACTGCAGGATCGCCACTGCCAGGGTCAGAGCTCTGACAAAGTCTGAGTCAGCGACTGAATATAGCAAGTGGCACATGACTCAGACCAGGCCTGCCCTTCAGCACGACCCAGCAGTGGAGGAAAACTCAAGCAAACTCAATGTTCAAATCAGGCTGTTGGGCACGAGGGTTCCTGGATCAGTGAGTCCAATTTTGCCCTTCTGGGGCCCTCCTTCATTTCCTCCCTTGGAAGTTTGGCCTCTTCCATTGGAGTCTTCCCACTTCCAATCTGGGTGGCTTTAGGGGCCAGAATTCATTTCTTTGGGTCTCGGTGTTCCCATCTGTAAAATGGGCCCATGAAAGAAGCTTCTCCCTTGAGGGGTCCATTTTCAGAATTAAAATGTGTTTATGAATTTAAAGCCTCAAGAATCAATACATGTTAAGCACTACACAAATGTTAACTATTCTTGTTCTCAAGAGATCTGTTACCCTGAAAAAAATTAAGCCCATCCATGTGGGGCACACACACTTAATGAGCACTGTACCTGGTGTACAGTGTACCTGGTGTTAATGTATTATTGCTGACATGATCTGCTAACCACCTTGAAACAACTGGCATCCACAAACCCACTTCTCAGATCAGAAAGCAAAGGATCAGAGAGGTGAAGGCACTTACCCAAGGTCACACAGCTGGATCTCAGCCTAGCCTTGGTGGTGGTATCAAGGCAGACACCTCTTAAAATAAAGGGCTGCAGCAGAAACTGCTAAATGTACCCCAGTGTCTTCCCCACCTTCCCAGGATTAGAATCAAGGCTTTCAGCAAGGCACGTGGCCTCCCAAAAGACTACAGTTCCCAGCTTCCCTTGAGGCAGACGGGAGGCCATGTGACTACATTCTGACCAATGGGGTGAGAGCAGATGTGTGCAACTTCCGGCCCTTGCCAGTCCAGAGGAGGGGGGGCTTCTCCCTTCCCCTTCCCTTTTCCGGGAATGGGATAGCTGGACAGAGGGGTCCTGGAGGACAATAGCGCTGGAGAAGCATTCAATAAATATTTATTATAATTAAAAGACCATACCAATATCCCCCGCCACCAAGACGCCCCACCCAGAGATAAAGAGATTGAATTGTAAACATTATATCCAGTTCTGGTTACCAGGAAGCCCATCCGGGTCTATTTCGCTGTATTTCCTGAGAAATAAGGGTCTCCTGGGCAATGTACTGAAAATGGCACATGACCCCATTTTTACTGCCCACCAGATGGGGGGCAGATGGGGGGGTCTCCAAGGTCCTGCCCAAAGCCCATGCCAGGGTCCAGGTGTGTCCCACAGGCAGTCAGGCCTGGTCACTCGGCCATTCCACCTCCTGTGTCTTGTCCTCGGGTGCCTGGGCCCCTCTCTGGTTCCACATGTGGTTGTTTATCCCCAGCTGCACCATCTGAGCATGGTGGATAATGAGAGGTTGTAGCCCAGGGCCCTGAGGGGGCTCCAGTGAGGCGGTGGGGAAGGCCGGGGGCTGCGGGGAGGCTGGGGGCCGTGGGAAGGCCGGTGGAGGGATCCCAGTCTGCCACGGATGCAGGAGCTGCGGCTGAGGGCAGCCTGGCCAGCTGGGGAAGGATGGGGGGACTCCCAGGGGCACCTGACCTCCAAAGGGGACCTGAGCCCCGGAGGGCACCTGAGTCCCAAATGACATGTGGCTCCCAAAGGCCATCTGGAGGCTCTCCATCTGCGCCTGCCAGGACAAGTAGCTCTGGAGGTAAGCGGAGTGGGCAGCGCTCACAGCTGCCGCCTGCTGCTGCTCGGCGTGCAGACGCTCGCTCTGCTCCCGCAGGGTCCGGGCATCCTGTTCCTTTCTCCAGGTGGCCTTGCGGGCCCGGAGCTTCTGAGGCTTGAATGTGTTGGCCACCTTCCTGGCGAAGATCGGGGAGCGTTCATCCAGCCACACGAGGCCCCCGAGCAGGCTGGCCACATCAGAGCCGAGCTGGGCCAGGGAGCTCTCCAGGGGCAGGAAGGGGATGACACAGTCATGCCAGCCGTGCCGCGTGAGGCTGCTCATCAGCGTGTGGCTCGTCTGGTGCCGGCTAAGGCGACAGTCAAAGTTACAGGTGAGCAGCAGAATGGTGAAGGCTGAGTGCTCGATGGCATCCTGCAGGCACTGCAGCTGGCCGCGCCCGGGCACCTGGAAGTCCTCGCAGAAGGTGGCCCCGTCGGGCACGCCCAGCTCCTCCAGCCTCTCCCGGACACGCAGGGCGATGTGCTCGTCCGCCCTGGCGTGGAGGACCACAAAGTTATAGAATTTCTGTTCTGACGATGTCACATCAGGGGAGGACAGGCACGGGGACGAGGAGGCCGGGTGAGATGAATAAGGGGACGATGGGGATGGAGAAAGGGGAGACGTTCTGGGACCCTCGGAGGGCATTGGTGGGTGTGGCTTGGTATGCTGGGACGTGGTGTCTTCTACAGAAAGTTGAGGTGGCGGCGTGGGGTCTTTGACAGAACAGTGGTTTTCAATGGGCTGCAGAATGGGCGAGGGGAGAGACTTGGGGGCTGCGCACACCTCGGTGCACTCCACCGGGTAGTGGGTGCTGGTTTCTGGTGCTGCGGGGGAGTCTGGGAGGCCAGCTGGGGTCGGACCTGGGGCCACATCAGGGAGCCCCAGGGCTGGGCTGTTTGGTGGCTCCGGAGAGCTGGCAAGATCCACCGAGGGGGGCCAGCTCATCTCCTCGGGCTCCTGGCAGCCTGGAGGGGCAGGCCCAGGCACCTGGCTGGTGAGGGGCTCATCACAGAGCTTGCTGGGTCCGTGGGGGCGGTGGTGGAGACTGAGGGCCATGGTGGGGGACTGGCTGATCTCCAAGTTGCTGACCAGGGAGGCCGGGCTGCCGGTGGATCGCAGGGAGTGCCCATGGCTCCAGCCCGACAGGTTGTCGATAGGGCGTGGAAGGCTCCGGGTACCAGAGGGCGAAGCTGAGGATGGAGGAAGGCAGTCCAGATCAGAGTGGAGGGGCCTGAAGACCCCCGGGTCCCCAATGATGTCCCACCCACACCGGTCCCGAGCTTCATCCTGGAGTTCCCCCAGCCGGTGGTCGTCCCTGGAGCTGAGGGCACAGAGGGCCGCCTGGTAGGCCACATCCCGCATGGAGGCTGGACACAGCTTCTCCTCGGCCAGCAGATGGTACAACCGGGCAACAGCCCAGGACACGTCCAGGGGCTCCTCCGGGGCCTCGGTGCTATCGACGCCAGCCCACTGGCGGGCCACCAGCTGAGCCACTGCATCTGCCTTCAGAGCCTCCAGAGAGATCCTGGCCTCGGTGTCCTGGCCCAACTTCAGGAGCACCATGGCGTGCAGGAGGTCTGCCCCCTGGCAGCCCAGGCGCAGAGTCTTCAGTTTGTGCTTCAGATACAAGAGCTTGTCCTGACCCGCCGCGCCTAGAATGTCGAAGGCACCAGGGAGTGACGGGCCCGGGCTGGCCATGGGCATGGGAGGGTGCGGCCTCGGGCAGTAGGAGAAGCTGGGGGTAGTGGAGGCATGTTCTGCACAGCCCGCCTTCTGCACGCCCGGCGTCCCCTACCCATTCACTGTACCAGGTTCTGTGGGGCTACCAGAGCAGACCTGCAGGAAACAGGAGAGGGACATGCGATGACCACCAGGAAAGGAAGGCAGCCAGATCCCCTCTCCCACTGCCTACTTTCCTTCAGATGCCACCATGACCTATCGAGGTGACCTTGGGCAACGTGTGTCACCTCCCCCCAACCTCTGTTTTCCCCTATGCAAAATAATAGCAGCTGACACTTACCTGGGGTTACCCAAGAGGTAGATACTACTATTTTCTCCATTTATAGGTGAAGAAAGTGAGCCACAGAGAGGTGAAGTCACTTGCCAAAGGTCACACAGCTGGTGAGTGACTGAGCTGGGATTTGAACTCAGGCAGTTGGGCTTCAGAGTCTGTGTCCCTAACCACTAGGATACACTGCCTAGGGGGATAATGATGGCAAACACTTAAGAGCTTGTTTCAGGGAATTGAGTTCCATTAACACATGGAAAATTCTGAGTTTGATGACTAGAAACCAGTAGGTGCTGAATATGCTCACTAGGGAGGTAGTCAGCCTCCTAGATGGCCCCCAAGGACCCGACATTCTGGTACTTATGGTCTTGGGTCATCCAGCCAACACTGTACCAGAGTTGGCCTATGTGATTGATAGAATTTGGCAAGGGACAAGGTGTCACTTGTCATATTAGGTTACAAAAGACACTGTGGCTTCCTCTTGGTGGCTCTCTCTCTCACTCTGTCAGGGCTAAGCCATGTGGTGAGCAGCCCACGTGGTGAGGTGCTGAAGCCTCCTGCCAACAGCCATGCAAGGGAGCCACCATGGAAGCAGCTCTTCCGGCCCAGTCGAGTCTTCAGATGAGGCAGCCCAGCTGAGAGCTTGACTGTGACCTCAGGAGGGACCTGAGCCAGAACCCCCCAGTGACAAAGCAGCTCCTAAATTCCCAATCCACAGAAACTGGGCAATACATGTTTGCTGTTTTCAGCCACAAAGTCCTGGGGTGATTGTTACGCAGCAGTAGCTGACTGATGCAGCCAATGTTATTATCATCATGGTGAGCAGACCATTACCGAGCCCCAGCTCTATGCCTAAACTGGGCTGCCAAGCCATGCAGAAGCTATTTCTCCTTCTCTCCATTTCCCAAAAGGTGTCAAGCAGCTTCCAGCTCAGGCACTTTGCATGTGCTGTTCCCTCTGCGTGGAGTGCCCTTTCCCCAGACCTTCCCCTGGGTTATCTTAATCTCATTATTCAAGTCTCAAGCACAATGACACAGCCTCAGGAGGCTTCCACGCCCACCCCAGTTCCCCATCCTAGTCTGTCTCTCCATGTCACCCTCTTCTCAATAGAATTGTCACTGGCTGAACTTTTCTTGCACGTTAACTATTTTGCATTTACTCTCTGCCTCCCTATCAGACCGTAAGCATCAGACAGTGACAGCTGAGCTTCTTCTGGGTGCTGTGGGGTGGTTAAGCCACAGAGCAGGTACTAAACAAAGACGGGCTGGATGAATGAATGAATGTGAATGAATGAACGAGGCTGGTACTCAAAAGTTGTGATGAGAAAACTGAGGCCCAGAGAGAGGCCTTTCCCAAGGGCACATAGAAAAGACACTTGTGACACTGAGTCCGACTTGGGGAAACACAGAGTATTAGGTCCATTCTGGGGGGCCGAGAACCCTTCATCGGCCCCTCAGCCCGCCTAGGATGAGACCTACCGCCTGTCCCACCCTAGTACCCATGATGAGACCTGATTGTTTAGACCAGTGGTTCTCAACCGGGGACAATTCTGCCCTAGTAGGGACACTGGGCCATGTCTGGAGACGTTTGTGGTTGTCACGACTGGGGGTGCTCCTGGCACAGAGTGGGTGGAGGCAGGGACGCTGCTCAGCACCTGCAGTGCTCAGGACGGCCCCACCACAGAGAAGGATCCAGCCCCAAAGTCGCTAGTGCTGAGGTTGAGTAGTGCTAGTCTAAACCAAGAGTCAACTCACTGATCAGCGCTCTGAAAAATCACAGGCCTCGTTGTATAAATGATGCAGGATTTTAAAAAAAATTCATCTTGACCAGGTCCACTGGAGCCCCAAGGCCAAGCTCGCTGGATCCAGGAAGGTCAGGGCACAGGACAGAGAGGGCGTCGGAGTGAGCTGGCGTCTGGGAGCAGAGGCGCGAGGGAGACGTGACTGCCCCCGAGTGGGCCAAAGGAGAAAGGACAGAGAGAGGGGGTCACCGGGGGAAGGAGGGAAGGGGGCGAGCATCTGTCTGGCTGTTTCAAAAAATGGAAGTGGCCTGACGTGTTGAAATGCTGACAGGGAGGGGGGAAAAGGAGAGACAGAAAAAGCAGAGCTGACTTTCTTGTGGGGGGGACAGACAATTGACAAATAAGTGAGGACAATTCACAGTGTGCCCGCTGGTGATCGATGCCAGAGAGAAACATAAAGCCGAGAAGCGGGGGTGGGGGACAAGTCAAGAATACCTAGTATCAGGGGTGCGTGTTTGTAGTTTTAGATGACATGGTCCAAGAAGGCCTCCATGAGGAGAGGCATTTCAACAAGACCTGAAAATGATAAGAAGGGATCCTAGGGGACATCTGAGGGAAGAGCGTTCCAAGCAGAGAGAGCAGCCTGTGCAAAGGTCCTGGGGCAGGACCGAGCCTGGCGTGTTGCAGGAACAGCGAGGAGGCCCATGTGGCTGGAGCAGAGTCAGCGAGGGGGAGAGCGGGGAGGGGATGGCAGGGAGGGGGACAAAGTAGGTCGTGCAGGGCCTTGTGGCTACGGGGGGGACTTGGGCTTTTACCCCAAGGAAAGTGGGAGCTATAGAGGGCTGTGGGCAGAGGAGGGATGGGACCTGATTCAGGGGCTCACAGGCGCCCTCTGACTCCTGCAGGGATGACAGACTGTGTGGGGCTCGGGTGGGAGCCTGGGGACCAGGGCGGAGGAGAGAGATGCTGGAAAAGAGTGTTCCAGGCAGAGGACACAGCCTGTGCAAAGGCTCTGAGGCAGGACTGAACCTGGTATGTTGGAGGAACAGCAGGAGGCCCATGTGGCTGGACTTTTACCCCAAGGGAAGTAAGACCTGAAAAACTGGAGTCACCGTGGATCTGTCTAAACATGACTGCTGTGACTCACCTCAAGCCAATTGTTGCTATGAGGAAACACATCTCATTTTCTGAGAGAAGCCAGAGATCCAGATTTTCAGGGATCTGCTGACTTTTGCCAAGTTGGCAATCAACTCAAATATTTTTAAGAGACCTTGTGAGCTTAAAAAAAAATTAATAAGCTTGTGGGTCAGTGTGCAATCTATGGAGTGAAAACTCTAAACATATTTGTTGCATAATAAATAAATAAAGTGTGTGTGAGAGAGGAAGGGATACATACACGGCCTTCATTCATTCATTTAAGTAGTTCTTTAGTAACTGCCATGTGTTGGGCACCGTTGAATATTCCAGGGACACAGAGAAGAAAAATCAAGAGTAGACTCTTCCCTCTTGGAGCTGACAGTCTAGTGGGTATGTTAATTGCATGAGGGTAATTTGAAAAGTATACGGAAAACAGATTTAAAAGATAAGGTGAATCCTTTCTTGACCTTTTTGAAGACACCTCATATAAATATGTCTTATAGGGCCAACCCGACCCCCTACCCTCCTTCAGGTTTTTGGTTAAGCCTGCCCTGATCACCCCATGCACAACCGCCTGTGACAGGGGTCACAAAATACGGCCCGCCAACTATTTTTGTAAATAAAGTTTTATTGGAACCCCCAACCCTCCTTCAGGTTTTTGGTTAAGCCTGCCCTGATCACCCCATGCACAACTGCCTGTGACAGGGGTCACAAAATACGGCCCGCCAACTATTTTTGTAAATAAAGTTTTATTGGCACACAGCCATGCTCACTCATTTACATATTGTCTGTGGCTGCTTTCCCACTACAGCGGCAGAGCTGGGTAGCTGGAACAGAGACAGTGTGGAAAATATTCACTATCTGGCCCTTTACAGAAAAAGTTTGCCAACACCTGTGTTATAAGACAGGCACAAGATTTTTTTCCCTCCCAGAGAGGGGCAAATGACCAAGATCACATGCTACAACGGCAGAGCTGGGTAGCTGGAACAGAGACTGTGTGGAAAATATTCATTATCTGGCCCTTTACAGAAAAAGTTTGCCAACACCTGGGTTATAAGACAGGCACAAGATTTTTTTCCCTCCCAGAGAGGGGCAAATGACCAAGATCACATAGCGACTAACGGAACAGCTGTTTGGTGCCAGTGTTTGTAACCCTAAGACCAAACGCCTTACAATTACTATAGGGCACAACTGACTGTAATGGGTTGAATTGTGTCCCTCTCACCCACCTCCAAATTCCTATGCTCAAGCCCTAATTCCCGCCTTGATCTTGGACTTCCAGCCTCCAGAACTACAAGAACAAATCTCTGCTGTTTCAGCTGCCCAGTCTGTGGTACTTTGTTATGGCAGCGCTAGCTAAGGAATATACTGGCAGACGTTCACTGTCTAGACCAGCCTGTCCAAAAGAACTTTCTGTGGTAATTATGGGACATCTTGTCCAATGTGGCAGCTCCCAGCTACGTGCATGTAGCTACTGAACAGAAACTGAATTTTGAATACTATCCAGTTTTTAATTAATCAAAATTTAGATATAAAAGCGGAAGCAGTGTAAATGAATCTTCCTTCCCCACTCAACAGGGCTTTGTTGTTTTAGTAGAACTTCATTTCACTTTGTTGAAAATTTAGCCTCCGAATTGAGATCCGGCAAAACACACACCAGATTTCGAAGGATTAGTATGAAGCAAGGTACATAAGATGCCTCATTAATAATGTTTTATATTGATTACATGTTGGATATATTGGGTTAAATAAAATGTATTATTAGAATTAATTTCATTCATTTCATTTTTCTTTTGTTAATGTGGCTTGCTA